TAATGTCATATAATTGAGTATAAACAAATATAGTACCACTATCATTAAAACTCTAGATTAGAAAAAAAAATTAAAAAATAATTTTTGTGATCCATATTTTTACTTTTTCTACATATTGATTAATAATCACAAGTCACCAGATAATTTAATTTTTTTTGCTTTGTTTAAAGCGGTTTTTAACCGGTTTAATCTTTTAGCAACCTGCACTGATTTTGATTGATAAAATTTAAGTTTTTTTTCTAAATCAAGTACTAATTTATTTTCAACTTTGGTAACAAAAGAATTGTTAAAATGTAGAAAAGTAGTTAGCAAATTTTCGTAATTTTGTAGAGTTTTATCTTCATCTACAGTTGGTAAAGGTGTTAGGCATATAACTTCGTCGCTTACCTCCTGCGATTTTAAACCATCCCTGGAATGGCTGACCGGGTCGGTGTGATGATCCATGGGTTCATTTATGTTAATTTTTTGATCACGGACATCGTCTGCTTGATTTATTTCTGAGTTATCAAAGTAACCCTCAGATTGATTTTGATTATCTGGACTTTTTGAGTGACACGCACCTTCTTCGACGTTATTTGTTTCATTTAAAAAATCACTAGCACACACACTAACGAAATTACCATCTGCCATTTTTCTTAAATTACTAATAATGTTTATTTTCGTTTGCATTTTTAAAATGCAAGTGACATCTGCTGATATGCACATCCATTTATATCAAAAAGCTAAAGGCCATCTTCTTACTTTCCCATAAATAAATTTTACATAAATACAGACATAATTTCAATTAAAATTATTCGTTGCAGTTTGAATCATGTCTCAACATACCAAACTCTCCAATCAGTCTCAGGTAAATATAAAGTTTTTATACTATTTTTCGTAAATAAATGACAATGAATGAATTTTTTGGTACATTTCTAAATTTGTGTTTTATCAACTAATTATTTAAAAGAACCCCATGCAGTGGCAACTCTCGCACTAGGTCTAGTCCCGGTATAAACTAAAATTATTCTAGCGAAATCTTAAAATATTGGCTAAAATTATTTTAACACATTATTTTCTGTCAATATTAAAACATTTTTTCTAATTTCTTTACAGGACGCTTCTAGCAAGACAAATTTTAGGGGATATCTTCCTGCGGGAATAACAACGCTGTTGCCCGGCGAGCTAGAGGTATGTATAGTTTTTATACTATTTTTTGTGAATAAATGGCAATGCATGATTTTCTAAATTTTGTTATTTAACGTTGCCTGCAAAAATATTTATAATAATTATTTTAAAGAAAAAATTGCATAGTTTTACGAGCTGAACCACGAAACACCCTATACACTTAAAATTGATAATAATAGAAATTTTTAATGCAGTATGTTTATAATTTCCTAAATATTTTAGCTGTATTTCCTTTTTAAAGTAAATTATTTCAACTAAAAAAATTAATTGGTTCTAGTTTAATAATAAAATATTTTTCTAATTTGTTTACAGGACGCTTCTTGGGACAACTATAATTCGCCTTCCTACATACCTGACATAGAAAACAAAAATATAGTTAAAACACCCCCCGCAGGAATGTCCAAGTCGGAAAAAAAAATTTTAAATTAAAAGAACGTCTGAGGCATTCAGAATTAGCGAAAGTTGTGGTAAAATATTTAATTTTATTTAAAATAGTATTTTTCAATTTTTTAAATCTGTTTACAGGGTGTTTCCTGTCAAAAGACAGATCGGGAAGAACTTCCTGCGCCGCGGTGGATACCATTGTCGCCAGGCGAGCTAGAAGTATGTATATTTTTTATACTATTTTTTGTGAATAAATAACTTTACTAAATTTTGTTATTTAACGTTGTCTGCAAAAATACTTATATCTACAATAGAACAACTTTAAATTTTATTTTGTTCTAATTATTTTAAAGGAACACGACTGTGGTAGCTCATGGTCTAGATTACGCGGTATTGCTGGAACACAAAACACCCTATACACTTAAAATTGACAATAATAGCCGTTTTCTAATACAATGTGTTTCAAATTTCTTAAATATTTTAGCTGTATTTCCTTTTTAAAGTAAATAAGTTATTTCAAACAAAAAACTGAATGGTTCTGGTTTAATAATAAAATATTTTTCTAATTTGTTTACAGGACACTTCATGGGATAAGTACAACTGGGCGACTTATGTGCCTCATATGAAATTTATTTTAGAAAAATAAAAACAACAAAAATTTAACACGTATTTTTTTAAAAGCCTACCTTTAAGTAATCCAATAGTAAAAAAACAATCAAAATATCACAACACTTATCACATCACATGTTTTTTAATAAATAAAAACAACCTTTCACGAGCGAGGTCTGAATGTGGTTAACCATATTCGTCTGGGTCATCTGTCTGCGACCAGTGTAATGACCTAGTTTGGGTTTCTTTATAATTTCACCTCGGCTCGTTCTTAATAGCGCTGTGTTCGAAATCTGAATATAAATTTCATTATCAGTGGCGTTGCTATTAAAAATTAGAAATAAAAATGTTTTAAATTAGAGTTATTTGAAAAAATTTATAAATATTCTTAATTAAATTATTCTGCTACTACTATTTAAAAATAAATAAAGGTGGTTATTTAACAGGCATTAGATCTTATATAAATTTTTATTCAAAGATGGGGTGCTATGGAAAATAAGTATGACGATGCATTATATGACTGATTTGAGTTATAAGCATGCAATGGTTAAGAAAATTGATTTAAATAATTACACTCATAAAAATTGTATTAAATTATAACAATTAAATTAGATTATTCATAAATATTTGCATTTTTTCTACTTTTCCTATAAATAAACTTGTTCTGGCTTATTTGTGTTTTTCCTAATGTCTAGACAGGTGTCTTAAGGTTATACCAAGGCATTGTCTCTTTATATTTTTTAAACCAGGAGGTCGTCAAACTAGTTTCTGAATATGAAGGCTATGAAAGGTTAATAGCATGTCTGCCCATGACTGGTTTCCTCCAAAGCCCCCCTTTCATCATATAAAAACCAGCTCATCATTGCCACATACATACTTTCTCACTAAAACTGGTTCATTAAAACCGGTTCATCATTGCCACATACAATTTCCCCCTACTAATGAATCGATTTGAAAATCATACGCTATGCAAAATATGCGTGAAATTGTCTGTGTAATGATCAATCATTGCACCATGACTTACTTACTCGGATTAATAGAGGATTGTGGCTCCAACTTGAAAAACGAAAATTTGTTCCGAATTGTCCACGAATATTTGCACCTAAACTACGCAAAATTCAAAGTGCTGAATGGGAAAAAGGTGAATAAATTAGTGTCTAAATATTATATAATATATTTTATTAGACATAGACACATAATTCAAAGCATCCAAAGTCCTGCATTTTCGCCATTAAGAAGAAAAGAAGTGGCCGAAGAATATAGAAAACACCTTAGCATTGTAACTAAAATGTATCAAAACTAAACCTATTATGTGAACAAATAAAAACCAGTCTGTCAAAAATGGTCTGTTATTGTAAACGTCAAAAAATTTCCAGTATAATTCGCTGTTTGGTACCCCACGAAAAAAAAATTTCCACTAAAATACCTCCGTTGCCATGGTGATCTGTCAAAAACACGTATTTTGATTGGTTCAAAATTACAGGTGTGGAATTTTCTGTAAAATCTTTCGCTTAGGTTTCTCACACCGTATTTTTTCTATCTTTAATGTTTTCATTTTTGCATACATAAGATCTTAACAAAATCATGTTTGCCATGCAAGTCATTTGTAACTTGTCACCAATATTATTGTTATATTCTGTAACATCTAATATAACAGTACTTTTTTAGCTTTAAATAATTTAAAATTAAATAAATATTATGGTTCGTTATACTGAAGAAGAGAAGAAAGATATGTATGATGTGTACATAAGATGCTATAGGAATGAAACCCGGTCAGCTCAGACTTATTTAGATTTATATCCTGATAGACAACACCCATCTAAGACGATGTTTTCTTATATTTCAAAAAATATGGCAGAGCATAGCAGTGTAAAGAAAAGGAGAACTAGATATCAGGTTCGACATACTGATAATGAAATTAATGTTCTTGCCCAAATACATATTAACCCTGAAAATTCTACTAGGCGAATAGCTAGAGAATGTGTAGTAGGAACCTCCACGGTTAAAAGAATTTTAAAGAAACATAAATGCCACGGGTATAAATTTCAAAAAGTCCAGAAATTACACGCTGGAGACTCTGATAGAAGACTGATGTTTTATCGTTGGTATAGTAGAAAACTGCGCAATGACCATTCTTTCAACAAGAACGGTCCTGTCTTGTTTTAATCAAGTAAGAAACGGTATCATCAGAAGCTACATAGCTGATGATATTTTCATAGACGAAACATGGTAAAATGGTAAAGTGTAACATATCGTTGTATTTAGCTATCCAGGTCCGTATTTAAAAAAATAAGTTGAAGGTGACCCTGCAAATACAAAACGTCGTAATAAAAATTTTGACATGGCAGATTATAGGGAACTTGATTTATAACAAAAACTTCGTATAATTTTTTTGTATCTTTTATAATAACAACGCACGACTTAAAAAACGAAAATGAGGTTTTTCGGGTTTTATCGAATATCTCCGGAACCAGTCAGAAAATCTGGAACTTCTATGGACCATCAAAATACGAAACTTTTTCCCTATTTAACCGACAATGTATATCTTACGGTTTACGAGATCTCTGTATACGCAAATTAAATCCGGTCCACCCTGTATATATAGTGGAAAAAATTTATCTACACGTTGACTATGTTTAAATGAAAATCATATAATAGATTCTAAGACAACAAAAGTTTGCTTCTAAATAGGTACAGTCAAATCGCATAAATGTAGCTGTCACAGATAATGGTTGCTACGAATACAAAATACAACCCTTAAAATGTACATACGAACGTTTCCGATCTATTCCGTACTCGACAGGTGGTTTCCACTAGCTTTTCAACCGCTTTGAATTCCGCGAGTGTTTACGGGATTCCAGTCCAATGTTAGCTCTTATTTGGGTTGAGCCGTTCATCGATCCCCTTGCGCACGTCTCTCCACTCTCGAGGTCTTTTCGAGTAAAGAAAAGCGGATTTTCCGATTTGGACAACAACTTTAGATGAAAATGAGCCGATGCTCATTGTTGTGTGAAGTGTCGCACGATAATGACGCTTTGTTTATGCTTATTGACCGTGAACGGGAAGTGAAATTGAATTAGGTAACTCCGGTTGGTTATAACCTACAAAATGAGCAGTGTTGTAAAATGTAAATACAATATTTTTTTCTATTATGAATTAGTTTGTTTGCGTAAAAGAAAATATGCTTAGTTTAAATAATAAAAATCAGAATAATTGCAAAGATAAACGCGATTTTTAGTCTTTGTCCTTATTGTGATTGTTTGTTTACATAATGAATTGAATCCCACTTCTGATTGAAATAAGTAACAGCAGAGTGCTTCTAAAATAATATAAGTGTATTTTTAATCATATGGCTATTTATTTTAACATATAATAATTATTAAATATACTAAAAAGAATATACTATAAGTTATTTATTTTGAGATATATTTTTAAGGTAAATATCATCACAATATGTCTGTTACTTGAGAATTATGAGTTTTAATGAGGTCCTGTTATAATTATCAATTCACTAATAAAATTCTATTTTAAATTTATTGAACGAACTCCGTAAAACAATTTACCAGAATGTAGATGTGGCCTGAATAATCCAAGAAAATTAATTTTACATTCATAATGTAAATTTCCTTAGAAAATGTCCAATGAATATTCACTGCTTAACAATTTTAATGAATAAATTTCTTCGTTAGCTGAAAGTACAATAACTGTAAAACTCTAGAGTTCGAGCTTATAGGAATTTTAAATTTAATTTTTAATAATTTTATTATCACTATCATTTGAATATCTCTTAAATTACTTTCAAAAATATTTTGGATATCTTTTTTAATACGAATTGTGCTACATAAAAGTTAAGTTAACAAATATTAATGATCATCTGATCTAGTTATTTATTAACATTTTACAGATATCCTTGCACCTGTAATAATTAAAGCTTAAATCGAAAATAAAAAAAAATGAGCGATCATTCTAAAACGCCAAATGCGTGGCAAGAAGTTAGTGCTAATAATGGAATTGTCAATTCAAGATACCAAGTGCCTGAGAAAATGAATTCCCGAAATGCCGTAGTGGAAATTTCAAGGACAGGAACCAAAACCGTCGTAGTGCCTAGGTCCAGACCTGATAAAGAAAAGTTTTTAGTTATCTTAATAATAGCTCTTCTCCTGTTTTGTGGGATGCTTATGATAATGGTTTTTACTAGGAAAAATCAATCTTGTACGGGTAAGCACTAAACATTTTAAACTTGTACACCTAATTAATAATAATTAGGCATGAACAGAATAGTAATTTACGTTACAAGACCGGAAAGTAGTGTTTTACAGGTCGAGACAAGCAGATTCCAGGGCGAGCCGTAGGCGAGTCCTGGAAGCTTGGTGAGGCCTGTAAAACACTAATTTCCGGTCGTGTGACGTACAATTTTTTTAATACCGATTTTTTAATGTAAACTAATTTTATTTATTTTATTTTATTTTATAGTTATAATTAAGTAATAATCAACAAATACTACATACAACTAAACAGAAACTAGATAACGCCTAAATTGGTCAAAAACATTATTTTTGAATATTTATGTTAAATGTACAATTATGAACGTTAAATATCTGAAGGGAAGATGTGTCTGAAATACTGGGAATTATTATGTTTTTTGTAGCGGTACTAACAAAATTAGTTTGCTGCATATTGTTTGTGGAACATCCCGCATGGATTTTGTTTGCTATATCAATTTTGTTTTTCATTGAATTTTCAAGGTAACCTTCTGCTACGGTTGAGGATTTCTATCCTCCGTGCCGTTTTAAATTTATAAGATCACCCCCTCCATCTACTAGCAGAGACGAAAGCAGTGACCTGTGAATTCGCTTGGATTTTCCAATTTAAGATAGGAGGCGATTTTGCTAGGGGCTTTTCCCACAGAATGCAAACCTACTGCTTGGGTTGAACACTTCCCATTTAAAAAAAATAAATAGTCGTTTATGGTTGGTATGCGGTGGCCTCAATTGCAAATAACTCCTATAAAGTTGCAAATCTCTTTGGGAATTTACAATAAACGTTCTGGTGGTATTCGTTTTGGTTATGGGGATTTTAACTATCAACATTGTTTTCTTATCCTCGATATCATTAAGTGTCATATTAACGAGTTTTTCGCGGCGACATGCACCTGCGGAACCCATAATTAAAAGCACCTAGAATAGAATTAAAATTTATTGTAATCAGTTTTTACTTCGTTTCTTTGATTTTAACTTACCTTAAGCATAAGATATTCGATATCGGGAGCATTGTTTAGAAATGTTTCGATTTGTTCTCTTGACATAATCTTAGATTTCTTTGCTATATGACCAACCGATTTCTTTTTAATAAACGCTATTAATTTGAAAAAATTGTTGATATTTACATTATCTTTTACAATCATCGTTGATTTCTGCATGGAATATAGGCTCCATAATGATGAAGGAGCCAGTTTTTGTGATTTTTCGGCAAAATATGCGTTTAATTTTTTACTTTTTTTTTCGGCACCAATTTTTAAATGAATCGTATGTCTTTTCATAGCGGGTTTTTGATTTTATTGGTAATAAATCGTAAATAGCTTTCTTCGCGGTTTCTAAAATATCTTGTGGAATTTCATTTTCAGCATCTGAATCCATATTATTTGTAAAGTTGAAAACTCACAAATCAAGTTTGACATAAACAATAAATTAAAAATCAACGAACTGTCACTTAACAATAAATTGCAAGGCAGCCTGGATTATCAAACAGCGATTGGAAAAATTGAAAAAGAGGGACCGGTAAAGACTATTTTTACCGGTCCCTAGAGTCTACTTTCTGGTCTAGACCGCCGAAACGTTACTTTCTGGACGAAAAATTGTCCAGAAAGTGTATATTTTCTGGTCGGTCTTAAGTGCTTGAACACAGCTGGCCAATATAAATTAGGATAATATTTTTCTCTTTTTTGCAGTCAAGAAGAAAAATGTCTGTTTAACCGAGGAATGTGTACGGACAGGTTAGTAATTTTTATATTAATTCTCATATCAGTTATTCCAAGAAGTATCAATAATTAGCCACTTTTAATATCGTGTATTTACTTAATTTTAGACCGTATTATGCAAAGTTTAAAAATAAATCTGAACTACTTTTTTCTCTATACTTATTTATTTATACTTAATAATTTAAAAGTATCAGTTTATTTAAATTTTAAAATATTACCTTTTGGTTAACAAAAGTAAGATTTTTAAAAAATATATAATAGTACTTATACAATATTAGCCAATAGGCTTCAGTGTTATTCGGAGACATAGTCAGACGAGCCCAGGGGAAAAAAATACAATATTTAAATATACTGTATAATAATTGTAAAATGGTAAATACCAATATTTACATACATTTACTTGTTTTTGAAAAATCATATAAATCAGTCTATTAGTAGTGTTTTTAAATTTATAACAAAAATAGGTAGGTATTACTGTTGTTGACAAGGGGTAAAGAGGGGAACGTAATTAAAGATACATCGCTATTTTAATAGTTTATTACGTTATGACTTTTTATAAAAATTAATTAATCAGTTCTGAAATTTTTACACTCTACAGAGTGATTTTATTTCCTATATTCTCCCCCCTTTTCCAAGATTGGAAAATAAACGAAAATGGTGAATAATCAATTATTAATTCCATAACGAACTGGTAATTTTGAAAGTCTTCCCGATCTGGTATATGTTTCTTTAGGTTTTTCTTACTTGAATTTCGCCTCTCTTTTCTCTCTTCTTTCTTTTTGTGTTGTGAATTTTCTGCCATTCTATCTTTTAAATTTGATTGTTTTTCTAGATAACGTGTTTTAAACCCTTGAGAATCTGTTTCACATATTTCAAGTGGAAATAACCTCTAAAATGGTCGAATCAGGTTCCCATTCATAGTGTTTACTTTAGCTACTCTGAGCACTTTATCTTTTCCTGGATATACCTCAATTATTTTTTATAAAGACAAATCTCCGCGTTTTTTACTGTCATTTCCTATATAAACTACATCACCAACCTTTAGGGTTCTTTGTTTTCTTTGACCAACGTTGATTAATTTAGCTAAGTATTATTTTCTGAATCGTTGTCTAATGTCTCGAACTTTCTGTATATGTCTCACACATTTAACTAGATATGTTCGATCAATAGCGTCCAAATCAGGCACTTCACAGCTACTCCCTGTGTCATTTAGGAAGGTAGAGGGACTTAAGGGAATAAAGTTGCCTTCTTCGGAAAGATATGTAAGAGGTTGGGAATTGACAACGGCTTCTGTGTCACACAAAATTGTCATTATCTCTTCATAATTAAATAAACCTCTTCCTAAATTTCTTCGAAGTATATCCTTAACTAGTCTGACCATAATCTCCCACCATCCTCCATTTTATTGGCTTTATATTTGTATATTCGATGATTTTAGTCTAGTCTATTTGATTAAAAAGATTACTGGCACCTACAAAATTGGAGCCCTTATCCGTATATATAGTTGAAACTCTCGATCTTGTTACTATTATAAAGCCATTATAAAACTATCAGTTGAAAGTGATTTTACCAATTCCAAATGTACCGCTCTCTATACTCCACAGATAAATAAAACAATCCAAGCTTTGCCTCCTTCTTTTAGATACAGTGTGTCTACTTAAGTTGGAACCATATGGAAAACATTTTTATTATTGATTTTAGGAAAAAAGTTATTCTTGATAAAAAGTCCTGCATGACCCAAAACCTAAAATACAGTCATCAGATATCAAATTTTTCAAGCCGTATACGAGGTTTGTCAAAAAATATGAATTTTGCTCAAGAGTAAAGTACGTTTATTTTTTTACAAAATCGAAAATTTTCATTAAGAAATTTGTTAAATTCTTCACAAACATCAACAAAAGGAAAGCGTATCATGTTTATAGTAGCTAACGTAATTTATAACATTTTCAGATATTTACAATCAATGTGTAGAGTTTATAAAAAATAAGAAAATCTATTTTTTCAGATAGATCGGTGTAATAGCATATTTAAATGTAATATTCAATTCTAATCAACTTTTCTTAATGAAAATTTTCGATTTTGTCAAAAATAAACGTACTTTACTCTTGAGCAAAATTCATATTTTTTAACAAACCTCGTATACGGCTTGAACAATTTGATATGTGATGACTGTATTTTAGGTTTTGGGTCATGCAGGACTTTTTATTAAGAATAAAACCTGGAACACAATTCCTTTCTTTAATCTGACTGCATAGTCAGATTTCCTTGATTCTGTTTTTAACAAAAGTATTCCAGTTTGCTTTTGTTTTAATCCACGTCAAGGCTATCATTAAATCACTCCAATAATAGTCTTTATTTGTTCAAACAATGGTATATCTGTGTTATAACCTTAGATGTTATGACTACATTTATCAATTCCTTGACGTATACCTCAATAAGCATATCATCTCTAGCAAATCTGGCCTTTAACTGTTCAATAACCTTAATTCTGGCTTCATGAGGAGATTTTTCTTCAGTAGCTTGTATCAAATACAAACACTTGTCTTCTGCATCGATTTCTGGATCTTCGTGGATTTTTCTAAATTGTCCCCAGAAACCTAGCCATTGCTTAATATCTCCATTAAACTTCTTCAATTCTAGTTTTGGTAAGTTAAAATTTCTCTTACTTCTTCTACTGGTGTAACTTGTGTGTCTTTTGATACTTCTTCTTGTTGACCATCATCATTCGTTATTCTAAATTCATAGGTGGTTTTGAAATTGATTTCTATATTGTTGGACTTCTTCAAATTCTTTTCTTATGGAATCGATAGTGACTATTGAGGAAAAAAGTAATTAATTTATCTTCTCATCGGCCGTAAAAAGTCTTTCACTGATGCCTTCTAATTGTTGTAACACTGAACATATATTTTTCTTGTTCACGACTGCTTTGCATTTTCCGTGAACAATTCTGTTAATATTTTTCTCTGTAGCTTTAAGTTCTCCATCTTTAACGTCCTGTCACGATCGCCAAAATGTTGATGAGGGGTAAAAATGTGAACGTAATTAAAGATAAATCGCTATTTTAATAGTATATTACGTTATGACTTTTTATAAAAATTAATCAGTTCTGACATTTTTACACTCTACAGAGTCATTTTGTTTCTGAATATAAAACTATTAACATAATAAATAACTCTATTTCCTACAACTATAACTTTTTGGAAAATATTTTTATTAAAATGAATTTTAGCATCATCATTATTAGCAGCTATGGATCACGGTGTCGATCCATGCGTGGACTTTTTCCAGTACGCATGTGGAACGTGGAACAAAATCCATTTAATACCGGAAGATAAAAGTTCCATTAGTACGTTTGAAGTAATGGCAGATCAACTACAAATCGTTCTTAAAGGTGAGCTAATAACGTTCCACAATCATTTCAATGAAATACATTTTAATTTATAGAAAATAACACCGGCACACAAAAAAAAAGTTGTTTGTACATCAGACACGACCTACCTACCAGTATGTATTTTGACCCGCTGAATCCGAATTTCAAGTCAGTTTGGGCCGTCCACCCTTCAATATCCACCCTTGCAATATCTCTAAAAACTGATTTATGAACTGAATGAGGCGAAAGATTTTCTAAGATTTTGAACTGTTTTTTGTTGGTATCCAACTTTTTTGTTCTCATATGACCTCCGCAGTATTCAGCGGATCAAAATACATAAGAATTATGCTTGGTTTCGATTCATAAATTTTTTTTATTACTAATTATCTTATTTTTACTATTTTTACAATTTACTCAATATTGAAGGGTGGACGGCCCAAACTGGCTTGAAATTCGGATTCAGCGGGTCAAAATACATGCCGGTAGGTAGGTAGGTAGGTAGGTCGTGTCTGATGTACAAACAATTTTTTTTTTCTGTGCCTGTGTAATTAGTGAAAAATATTCTTACGTGATTGTGTTTTAGGTGTCTTGGAAGAACCAATAAACATGAAAGACAATGACGCCACCAGAAAGGTTAAAATTTTTTACAGCAGTTGTATGGATTTACGTAAGTACTATAGTATATTTTGTATACACTATACTACATGGCAATACAGATACAGAGTAAAATATATACAGGGCGTTAGTACATTCGACCGACATCGCTCTACCCTAGATAGCTCTAGTTAATTGATGCATTTTGATATAGGGATACGAGCTCTTAATGGGCCGAAATACTGAGTGTTACAAATTTGAAATCAAAATTAAACATTTTCCATAAATCAAAAATATTTTTTTCAAATTGGGCAACCGATATACTCTTTAAGAAAGTGAACTAAATTTTAAACAATTTAACCAGTGGTGCGCTATCAAGGTAAGTGGCAAGCAACTTTACTTTGAATTTGACAGGTTACACAGCTCCCACCACCGAGACATAGTACATGTTGTTCACCCTGTACCTATCTACAAATAACAAGCAGAAAACATGACATGCCACTTTTTGCAGTCAGAAATGTCTTATAAAATTTCTTTAAAATATTAAAATAACTAAAAACACTAATTTCTTTAATTTAATTAGAAACAGTGGCCGCAGAAAAAGAATAGTACTCAACACGATTTGTAAGCCCATCGTGCACTATTAATAAATTATATTTTAAACATATTATTCAGGGTTTCCCATAAGTTATGGATCAAACGAAGTGATGTCACAGCGGGGTTATTTACTATAAAAATGTTGTTATTGAATTGTTGACAGTTCAGAAGATAATTAAAATTTTCTGGGAAAACACGACATTCTTTATTCTTTCTAAAATATGTAGGGAATCTACACGTCATGTTACACCAAAGTATTTGCTGAAGAAGAAAAACTACTAGAAACTTCTTTAAAAACTGTTTTATTTTCTTGAAGAATCATATAATTTATACACGATTACAAACGTTTGTTTCCCCCTTTTTTTACGCGACTGGAACAAACATTTTTTATTTTTGTTTTTAAATTCTCTGTTAATTTTTAGTTAAAAAAGTAAAAACCTTTCATGGAGCCAAAACGAATGGTATTGCAGAAATTTGCTTCGAAACAAAAGTCTACATGTACTTAGGTTCCCCATTTTCGCATACAAGCCTCGAAGAGGGTTGAAAAGGACATCGATGTTGAATAGAATAAAAGAAAATTTACGGGTGGCTCTTGGGTACACATGGTAAATTCGATTTTCCTTATCAGAAAAATTTTCCGACCCCAAAATGCACTTATACATTCGGGTCATTCAAGAAAATGTTTTTCGGACTAGTGACGACGTACGTTTTCATATATTAGATGGGCTTGTGTGAAAAAATCGGGCTAAATCTCGATTTTTCTTTAGAAGATTACACCCTTATTTCAACCCTTTAGCCACTTGCAACAGATGAAAGAAATAGTGATCTGTGTTTTATTAAAACCGTTAAAAAATCCCACCCTTGCTACTTCTTATCGGCCTATTTCTCTTTTATCTTCTTTAACAAAGACACAAGAAAAAATGATAAAAACTCGCCTAGAATAATGGTATTTAGAATACTACTCTCTTTTACCTAATAGGTACACAATAATATGGATTCAGACGAGGCCGCGGAACAATTGATGCAGTTGCACATTTGGTAAATGATGTACAAAACGCTTCCACAAAAAATGAATATGTTGTATATTTATTTTTGGACATAAAAGGAGCATATGATTCTGTAAACTTGGATTTGCTTCATAGAAAAATATTTTCGTTAGGTATAGACGCGAATAGAAGTATAATTGAAATTTACAAAAATAAAAAAATATATATAAGAGATCATAGAAGTGTTACATGGTCCAAGAGTTATTTATGATGGTTAACCGCAAGGGTATGTGCTCTCTCCAATGCTTTTTAACATTTATACAGCAGATTTGCATAGTATGTTTGATGAAAAAATTAAAATAATTCAATATGCAGATGATATTTGTATATACACTATCCAAAGTTCATACCAGCAAGGTGTAAGTAAATTATCGCATGCAGTGTGTCATGTACTAGATTGGCTGGAAGACTTAGGTTTTACTATTTCTCCAGAAAAATCGTCAGTCATGTGGTTCACAAGACATAGAATTAGTAGTTTCCATCAAACCCTTACCATAAAAAATACAAATACAAAATTGTAAACCAGTACAGATATCTAGGCATAGTGCTTGACACGAAATTGTTATAGACAAAACATATTGCTCATATACAAAAAATAAGTATAAAAAAGGCATTAACATGCTGCAATATGTTACGAAAACTAAATATGGTGCAGATCCCAAAATGGCCCTTATATTCTATAAGAGCTATATTAGGTCAATTATGGACTATGGAAGTGTGTTATATGGATCAGCATCCAATACTAATTTAAAAATAATTGACCGAATACAATATAAAGCTATAAGAATTTGCATCGGTGCAATGAATTCATCTCACTGCTTTGCAATACTTGCTGAAGCACAAGTCCCGCCCTTAAATTTAAGAACTTTTTTTGCTAACAAATTAGTAATAAAATACAGAACATTTAACACGTATCTTGATCAATCTATCTCTCAATTATGTATAGATAATTTAGTTAATACCTACTGGATACCAAAAAAATATCCTTTACTAGCAGATGCATTCGCTAATACCAGTGTATTCAGTAAATACTACAAACAAGCCTGAAAATATCCACTTTATGACCAACACTTTGAGGTTACTGGTTTAATGAAACGGGACTTAAACTAAACTGATTTTATTCGTAAAAATGCCCACAATCGGCGAAATAAAATAGTGACAAAAAAGCGTTACTTCTAGAAAAAAAAAAAAACAGTACTTTGAATTCTCTGCGTTCAGCGTAGATATGATTAAAGGTTTCATACAATTACAGGGAGATAGAGAAAATGAGTTAAAGAGAATAGAAAAGTAAATAAAACAAAACATATTTATAAAGTAGATTTACCACACAACCAAGTTCACAGCATTATATCCTTCATATTTAAATCTTTATCAATAATACCCTCGTTTCATCCATACTAGGTCTTTTCCTTTGCATCGAAAGTGTAGCACTGAGCTACACCACTTCTGAAAATATCGTTCCATTTATACAAATTGTATGGATGGAATATCAGTAGGTCATATTCCACAACAATAACACTAATAAAACTAAACCACGGGTGTTTCCCAGCACACCTCTTTAGAATCGGTATCAATGAGACCCCTACATGGGAGTGTGACAACTTATTTTTAATTATGATTTAAAACTTTTAACACCCTGTATCTCTTTAACTAAACTCATTAAGGTTTCATGTGCCTATATCAATATTCATAAATTTGCGACAGCCTCTGTGGCAGAGCGTTGTCGGTCTAATATACTAACAACCTGTTGCCACTCAAATTTAATCGAACACATGAGACTCACACTCAAAAAAACATGAGAACACATGATAAATTTAATTAATTTAATTCTGTAGTTTTGTTTTGAGTATAAACAAGTATTAGAAATTAAAAATTTAAAAAACCGACTTCAAAAACGTTCAGATGCCATCACATCTTAACCAAATTCTCCTGAGGTACCCCCTTAGTAGCAAAAAAAGAATCATATAAATCGGACAAGGTGGTAAAGCATTATCGCTAAACATACATAAAAAAATGAAGAGTTTGAAGATTTTCTCATGGACCCAATTATTAGATTTTGAACAAATTTATATGGGATCACCCCTGAAGTACCCCCTTTCCAACAAAAAAAGAATTATTAAAATCGGACACCGTGTTAAAGAATTATCGCTGAACATACATAAAAAAAAATATCGCGACGAATTGAGAACCTCCTCCTTTTTTGAAAGTCTGTTAAAAAGGACTATAATAAACACATAATTACTAATCTAAGTACCTGTTTGAGTCAATTTTAATAGTTTTTAGCTGTCAGTTATTTTTTCATTACGATCATTTAAAAAAAATAAATAAAATCATGGAAATTAAACAACAGAATAAACATTTTATGTATTTTCCTTGTACATATAGATACCATCATTGTACATATTAAGGAGTTACAGTAAGATGATCTCAAAATAAATGTTAAAACGAACACATCATAATATTAAAACTTGGTTTTTAAACTTAAAACAATACAGCACAGCACATTGTTAAAACAAACATTAAGGCATAGAGGCCACATAATTATAGAAGAAGTATTTTATTATGCTCTATATAATGACATGGCAAATGCATGTACGAGTATGTACTTTATTGTCACACCAATTTCGCTGAAAGCATCTTGCATCTTTGATTCGACGATTTTCAAAAAACTGGAAAACATGAGAATTGGCCTCTGAAACATGAGAACATGAGATACTTTATCAAAACATGAGATCTCATGTTAAAACATGAGGAATGGCAATCCTGAACCTGTATTCGCTTAGTGTGACGTCATGGCAGGGGAAGCAAAAGCAATACTAGCGCTAGCTGCGGATAATTCGTGCATTTTAGGGCGATATTTTAGCATATCAATTACACGTATACATTTTACTTTTGCTTTTGCTGTGTTGTAAACTTTAAAAATACTAGCAAAAAAACAATGTAAATTACATAAAAATTCAGTAGCAAAGTGAAAATTAAATGAAAGAAATAAATGGATAGCTGTACAATAAGAAGAAAAATTACCTTTATTTTTGTAATAATAACAATAATACTAGAAATAGCAGTAGACATCAGAAACTTGAAAGGTTTTAAATAAACAATAAATTATTATTTTACGATGTTCTTCAACATCTTAAATATTCAGCAAGAACTAGACTTCTGCAATTCAATCCAATTTTGTGACTTAATGATATGAAACCAGTTTTATTTATTCATTCTGTTTTCCTTCGAACAAAAATGAAAATATAAATAACAATCTTTCTGTTTATACATTTTAACTTCACGCTATTATTTAATGGTATTTTTTTATGTTGACAGAATAATCTAAAAAACTAAAGGTTATTATTTTCTTTACTTAAGCCAACATTTATATTTTTCAGAGGGTATAAGGAAAACTGGCGATACACCCATCAGAGAGGTATTAAATCAACTAGGAGGCTGGCCGGTGATAAAAGAAAATTGGCAAAGTCCTTCGTTTTCCATTGAAGTTCTAATAGGTTTGATAAGAGGATTCTATAACGAAGGACTCCTCATAGAGCAATGGGTGGGACCTGATGATAAAAACAGTTCTGTGAATATTATTCAGGTATAGTAAGATAAGAAAAATCTTGTGAATTTGGTTTTAGAAATAAGCAAAATTAATATATTTTTCAGATGGATCAATCAGTATTAGCTCTACCAAGTAGAGATTATTATTTGAAATCTAGCAGTAAAGGAGACTTACAAGCATATCACAAATATATGACTAATGTAGCGATACTATTAGGTGCAAACGCTACCTCTGCTGGGGCAGAACTTCAAAAAGTGCTAGAATTCGAACAACAACTGGCTAATGTAGGTATTTCACATAATATTACATATTTTACAAAACTAACTAGCTAGAGTTATCTCAATATTATTCGTTTGAAATATTTGTAGGCCTCGCTTCCAGAACAAGACAGGCACGATACTAGTGCTATTTACAAAAAAATATCTATCAGAGAATTGGCCAAACAAGTTCCGCAAATCAATTGGTTGGAATATTTTAGAGCAATATTCGACATACACATTAGCGAAGATGAACTAATTGTGGCTTACGGTCTTTCCTATTTTGTGGAACTAGGGAAAATTTTATCCATTACCGACAGAAGGTAAAATAACGTTGAGTATTATTTTTTTTATTTTCAGAAACGATTTTATTGCATTTTAGTGCATCAGAATCTTAGAGCCACTTTACAGATAGCAATTTTCCTTTTCCTTGCTAGTAAAATTGCGGAAATTCATATTGCACGTCTGCGCACTAACGTCAATCAGCTATTGAAATTTTTCTTGCAATTAATCAATACAACGTCCTGTCAGAATGGACTAAAATGGCCGACACTTGGCAAAAATAATATCCAGTTAACAATTATACATTCTTAGTATCGTCACTGTTTTTACAAAAGGGCATAACTCATTTATTGTCGATTTTAAGTTATATAGTGGACGGTGTGCCTCGTAGCGTATATTTTCTTTTCTCAAAACGGCATATCTCTACGATAAAAGGCAACAAAGTTATGGGGAAAAGTGTGTTTCGGCATATCTCAGCCGAGACGAATTATTATTTTTACAAAAGGGCTTAACTTAAGATAGGCCCTTTTGAGAAAACATCAACAAAATTTAATATCTGCGTCACATAAGGGCATATCTCAATTTAATACAAAAAAACTAAATAAATAAAGTTTTAACTCCTCTACGACTTTTTTCTTCAAAATATTGGTTTTGAAAACATTGCAGAGTTTAATTTGTCACGGGACAATTTAAAAATACTGTAGGTAGGTGTAGGGGAACCACACATTCAAATTCATAAAGACGAGATTCGTTTGCGTGACAAAATAACATAACCTCACAGTTTATTGTGTGTTATTGTTTCTAGTGAACACATTGTGTGGTAACTCTTTGACGATTTAAGTGCTAATTATATTGTATTTTTATTGAATAAGCGTAATTGCAATGCGTGACATATTTGTCCCAACAGTACCTAATCTACTGTAGGTTCATTTTAGCCCAGTTATACAGGGCTGAATGTAATTTAATTTTTATCGTTCACTATGAGAAACTTAAATTTTACTGGCTTCAAGGAGAATAGACGTATATCGAATCATTAAAATAATAAGCTGTCATGTTTGATATTTGTTTTACGACGCCAACGGAGATTAGACGTTTATAGTTTTTGAAAACAATTATTGTGTAGGATAAAAAGTTATGTGTAAACCACTGCGGCGAGCCTGGCCACTTCTTGAGGCTTGAAAAGGCACTTTACTGCCTAGGAATACAATATACTATTTAGCGGAGCAGTCATCAAGGAGAAAAAAAATATTTTTGTATTATGTAGGTAGGTACCTGTAATGATTATTTGTTTCAGATAACTAATTAATAATCATGGATGTTTTAATTAAATGGGAAGATGGAACAGAAAATATTGTTGCAATTAAAGAATTGTCTCTTATGGATGGATCAACCCGTTTCGAAAAAAATAAAAAAGTAATATGGTGGAAAATTCTATTATGGAATAATAGTTGCTACAGAAAATGATGATGATAGTGAAGCACAGTACAACAGCTCTGATGATAATAGCCAGGAGGAAGTTGGCTTATCAAAATCTCCTTTAAGCGAATGTGGCTCTGATGATAATATTCCTCCCATTGTTAAAAAAAAAACAAGAATAAAGTTGATGTACCAAACACACTTTTAAGACGGCCGATAACAAGAGAGGCTAAAAAACGAAAGTATACTTAATCCAATAGTGAAAGTAAGGACTCACTATTTGGCGATTACACTAATGAAGACCCTGATTTTGTTGTTTATGAATGTACCGCGAGAAAATGTAAAAACAAAGGCATTAACAAGTGTAGTGCATTACTTTGCAAAGAAGTTGTTTGTAATAATCATGATCTATGTCGGCGTCACTTATTTAGTCTAGAAAGTTGGACGAATAAAGAATTAGAGAAAAAGTCTAGAAAGATAAATAAAAGAAGCCCGAAGGCAAATGAAGCAGCTAACTTAGGAAATGAACACAGCAACGAAAAGCTCTGTGAACACCCAAATTGTTCATTTAAAATATATAGTGCTTATATCTGCTTAAAAGTCTTACTCTGTTTTGAACACTTTGAAGCAGATAATAACTGCCGCTCACACCAAGATTACAATCCGGAGAGCTTGTTTCCAGTCGAGGGATATCCAAGAGAAGTTTCATTTAAAAAAGTCAGCAAAATAAATTCATTTAAATTAGCCAAAGACTTAAAGAACAAAGGACAGTGTTATGTAAGACCGAAAACAAAGAACCTCATGCCACCATAACAACTGGGACCTCGTTGCAATGGGGAATCATGTTCAAAACGTAATAAGAAATGTAGTCTCTTCAGTGATGGTAAACGACAAGAGATTATGCAAGATTTTTGGGATACTTGCAGTTACAAAGATAGTACACTGCAAGGTACATCAAAATGAAAGAAATAAAAAAAAAACTACACAAAAAGAGGTATCACGAAGAACTAAAAGCAATTATTACTTTCTTCCGTTAGACGGCGACGAACTACCAGTTTGTAAAACATTTTTATTAATACTTTGGCAACGACAGCAAAGACTATAAGTACAACATTATCTAAGAAAAGTACAACTGGAATTATAGAAAAAGAACAGAGAGGAGGAAGGTATAAGTCACAAGTCGATAGAGACCTTCAATTAATTAATGGAATTACCGAACATATAAATAAGTTTGGAAGAGTTGTATCTCATTATTAACGTCAAAATTCAACTCGTGAATATTTAGATGAAAATCTTAGTCTACTAAAGATATTTTCCATGTATCTAGCAGATGAATCTGGACCTCTAATGAAAGGAGCTTATTCTGTGTACCGCAGAGTATTCAAATCTATGAACCTATCCTTTCACCGACCCAAAAAGGATCAATGCACCCTTTGTATGTCATATAATAATGGCAATGAAGAAAAAACACGGGTTGCACTCCGGGAGTGCCGGCAGAAGTGAAAACTTGAATATTAACGTTATGCATTTTTGATTTTTTGGAATAGTTAGGGAATAATTTTGAACGAATTGCTTTTATTATCAATATAAAAGTACTATCATTTATGTGGTAGAATACAATATTTATTGCGCTATCATACACACACATTACAATTTATGTTACATTAAATTACATTGTATTACATTAAAAAGTTTATCTCTCAGAAAAATCAATCAATCAATGTTGAAATCTCCACTCAACATCATTGGCAATTCATCAAAGTGTTTTCCAATTTTTTTTTTGAAGCAATGCGGATGCGTCATGAGAATAAATAAATAAAGTTTCGTACAAGAAGTCTCGTATAAAAAATTTTTGAAATTGAAATTGATTGCACGTTTATTGGCTGTTTTTTTTTTATTTGGTGTCATCGGCATCGACTGCTAAGGTCATTAGCCTCGTGTTCTGTGTAGGCTTTGTTTTATAAAAATAGATTTTTTAAAAATCGATTTTTTTAATTAATCGAAACCCTTACAATCGATTAAAAAATATCGACAATCGAAAGAAAACAATCGATTGTTCGATTAATGGATTTCGATGTTACAATACTACTCTCCAACCGTCTTACGAATTTTCGATCAGCCCACGTGTCCTGACGCGAGTTTCACAGTTTTTACCCATCCCGCAAAAGTGCTCAACGCCGCTAAAGAAGTTTTCACTTCAAAAATAACTTACATATTTTATATTTTCCTCAATGCCTATTATTATTCCAATTTATTCCAATTTATTCCAATTTATTCCAATTTATTCCAATTTATTCCAATTTATTCCAATTTATTCCAATTTATTCCAATTTATTCCAATTTATTCCAATTTATTCCAATTTATTCCAATTTATTCCAATTTATTCCAATTTATTCCAATTTATTCCAATTTATTCCAATTTATTCCAATTTATTCCAATTTATTCCAATTTATTCCAATTTATTCCAATTTATTCCAATTTATTCCAATTTATTCCAATTTATTCCAATTTATTCCAATTTATTCCAATTTATTCCAATTTATTCCAATTTATTCCAATTTATTCCAATTTATTCCAATTTATTCCAATTTATTCCAATTTATTCCAATTTATTCCAATTTATTCCAATTTATTCCAATTTATTCCAATTTATTCCAATTTATTCCAATTTATTCCAATTTATTCCAATTTATTCCAATTTATTCCAATTTATTCCAATTTATTCCAATTTATTCCAATTTATTCCAATTTATTCCAATGTATTCCAATTTATTCCAATTTATTCCAATTTATTCCAATTTAAAAAATATCGACAATCGAAAGAAAACAATCGATTGTTCGATTAATCGATTTCGATGTTACAACACTACTCTCCAACCGTCTTACGAATTTTCGATCAGCCTACGTGTCCTGACGCGAGTTTCACAGTTTTTACCCATCCCACAAAAGTGCTCAACGCCGCTAAAGAAGTTTTCACTTCAAAAAAATAGCTATTTGTATTAATAGGGAGAAAAGTGCCACTTTTCCTCCCGCAGTAAATATCCAAGGGAGGAAAAGGCACTTTACTCCCAAGTAATACATATGATTTTTCCGCCTCCCTCAAATAACAAGTCATTTTTAAATAATTTTCTTCGGCGCTTTGCTTGAAATGTAAATACTGTTTTTATTCATTAACCTGTTCCAAAATATCCGGTGGTGTATTAATTATATCTTCAAATTCGCTTAAATTACTCATTTTTTAAATATTTATTATTTTATATTTTGTAGATATATTATAGCGTAACACACTTTGAAACTGATCTGTCAATCGACCATAGCATGCTATAATATTTCTGTCCTAAATTCGAAAATCGGATGAATCTATGAATTGAAGTCAAATTATTAATGTAAAAATCGTTAAATTAAAATAACAATTTACTGGTTTTTACTATTTTGCAAAATACAAGGTGTTCTATAAATAAACGGTAAAATTTATACTTATATAATAGAATATAGTTTAGGTCGTCAATGCCGTATAAGCTATTTCATTTATGACATACCATGACGTCACTTTTATTTTTCCTCCCTAGGGAGTAAAAGTACTTTTCCTCCCTAGGGAGTAAAAGTACTTTTCCTCCCTAGGG